GGGGGGGCTCAGAAGTAGAGACTACTTAATCTGTTTCTATTTGAGAAATTAAACCATGTACTTAACAAATAGGACCAATTTTCAATTGCACAGAACCACTTCAAGAAGACCCAGGCAACCAAGATGACCAAATTATGAAACAAATCAATTCAGTTGCCACTAGAAAATTATTCTCCAGAAAATGTACTGCCAATATTAACAAGATCACAAGTTCAATCTTAAAGAAAGGTCGCAGTTTAGCCAGCCTCCCCCAAGTACTAGATGATTAAATTTGCACCCATAACAACTGCTAAGCCTTTCTCCGAAAAAGATTAAATTCAACTTAGCTAGACTGATATGAATAAGCGTATGTAGCGAAATGTTCATAAAACTTCTAGGAGGAACTTTTCATTCATATAATCATGAAAATAGAAGCCTCGTAATGCCCTTAAGAAACATAATGGGGTAATAGCACAAATTTTAGAGGAAGTAGAGTTCTTATTTTTTTAAAAACAAGGTTGTGGTACAGCAACATATGCATGCAGTTGTACAGTCAAAAAGCGTACATACATTACAAGTCCCAATAAAATGCTTAGCCTAGAAAGGTGAATGCAAACAAGACCCCACAAAATGCTCAGCACAGATTGCAAACTGAGTATTAGTGCACTTTTGAGTTGGGTTCTATTAAAGGTTACAACCAAATCTACTTACTGCATGCACAATGGATACAAATATTTAACCAGCTCAAAAATCGTTTAATAGTAGCAGTTCAGGTTTACCATACCTAGACATTCTTACACAATGGCACTACAAGATATTACCCCAACCATATTCAGGTTGCCAAAAACTTGGAGCACAATAAATGACTATAGAAGATTGTATGTGCTAAGGTGATGTGCAAAACATGATCAAATGCAACAAACTTTAATCCACCACATCAATTCACCAAATCCATGAGATAAGATTCCAAACAGGTAAGCATATTCTACGAAGGTTCCAGCTATATATGGTACTTTAATTAGCTTCTGTTAGTCAACCAACGAGTCTTTTCCAGGATGCTGATCTCCCACTGATGATTCACCTAGATGAATCCTCCTAAACATGGAATCGGGGTGAAGCACGGTTCAAGAAGAAGGAGTTCCAGCTTCGAGATTTGCTGCTATTCCTTAGTCCTATCCACTTTTGCTAAAAAGGTCTACACTTGGTTGACCACTTCTTCGACTTTTTCATTCTGTTTTTGCCTATCAAATTGCTTTAATAATGTAGAAAATTTATGCGGTTCAGACATAGGCACCAGCCCCATCACGATGTTGTGTGAATTAAGCATCAACAAAAGGACCAGTAGCTAATTAATAAAATAGAAAACCAACTGCAGCAGCTAGAAACAATACAGGAATTGAGAATGAAAAACAAAAGGTCACTTTCTCATCTACAAAAATGAGACAGACAAGGGTTTTGTTCATTCCTGATAGAAAATTCAATCATTAATCACAAAATCGCCTTAGTTTGCAAGTGAATAATCCTAAAGAATAAGTAGCAATCAGTGTCTTCCATTTAGCAAATGCTTGAGCAAAAGTATGACAAGCTACCATAAAGTTGTTTGTCCATAAATCTTCATCCTCCTAAAAAAATAATGTGTAACCACCCCCTTCTTTGGCCATACTTCACTTAAAACACTTTTATTGTTGACCACAACAAACCTAAACGCTCATAATTGCTTTTTGTCAATCCAGCAATCACATTTTTCAATTTCATTGAAGGAAGATTCTGAAATTACCTTAACTAGTCAGAAAGATAACAATGCTGTCACTTCAAATCCATATCTTCCAGAGTGGCAAACAAAATTAGCTTGCTCGATATAGAACTAATTGTTTAACATTTATAAACTCACTAGAGAATCTATATGCCAAGCACCACCCGAACTGGACTTCCTTCTACAAGGTAGGTTGGCTATGGGATTAAGATCATCAACAATACCACATAAGAAAATGCTTTTCAAGTGCAGATCATGAATAGCATACACACTCGCCCTCCACGCCCATTCTGAAGATGCAATAATTACAGTTGGTAATTTGACATCGATGCATAACTTAATATCGAGCATGTTGCCCATACTTCTTCCTTCTAACAGCATCATGTAGTAGAAGTTATTATTGTTTACTTAATAAAAAGTACAGAGTCATGGTTTTCTCATAATATCTTATGTTCCATGAATTAAAAACAAAGACTAAACTCTTCCCATTGTACAGGAGTGACATTGCTCTTCTCATCTTGATGGCATTTTGCATGATCAGCAGCTCGTTTTCCAAATTTTTGTTTCTCAGGACATGCATATAGCAAATTTAAAATTGGAGTTTATAGAAATTAGTCAACTGCCTTCAGAAACACATCTAGCTGTTTGATGCTCTTATTCGTCAGGGAGGAAATAATACTGATTGACACTCATCAGCTAAAGTAGTTCATCTTAGTGAATAGTGGCAACTTATTATGCTGAAAAATAAAATGAAGCCATCCGCCGTCCATATTAAGGCCAAGAATGTAAACCACAAAACCTGCTTGCTTACACAGGGATACAGCTTAGAACTGATCTTTAGATCAGAAAAGACTAACCCACCAAAAAATATAGAGCTTGTTTGGTACAGATTTTATGCCAATTAAAATCAATTTTTTGACCGTTATTTCATTATTTCAGCCGTTATTTTTGAATTCTTCTCTTACAGGTAGAACCCACTTTATCTCTAACGATCAAAAAATCAATTATTAAAATCCCTACCAAATAAACACATAATGAACTTGCAATGGGAAACAGCAATGAAATAAAGTTTCAGAGCAACGGAATTATAAGAAGTATTGCTGAGAAACACCATCATCGAATGATGAAAATGATTGCCATATATATATTATAGCATCAAGATTTTTATGATAAAAATACATTTATAAACAGTATTTACAGCGTCACGCTACAACTGTATGTATATACAAAAACACATTCTAATAAAATGGTTCAAGTAATATGGCCTCTCAACAATGTACAATGCACTAAATTGCTTGCCCCAGTAATTTTTAGTGCAAACCAGCCGGTCTATGAACTGCCAATTTTGTTGACATCAGCTGTTATCTGACCCACCAATTCAGCATCCCAAGCAAAATGGCATTTAACTCTGTGTTAAAAGCTGGACAGCATACTGCAATAATTAGCACAGAAATGCAACTGAACTTAAACAACCAAATTCAAGCATCAGTGAGGCCGCCAAATATTCTAGAACATTTGAACTATTCAAGATGAGCAATTCACCATTACAAAGAATTTCCCCAGAGGCTTTATTCACACACACTCTTTTGAACAAGGTTTTGGCTCTCATCTTAGTTTAGAAAAGCAAGTCACAAACAATATTTTAGACTGTATAATTGCACACTCATCACTATGAAAGATGGTCACTTCAGTAAAAATCCTGGTGTATACTTGTGCTGAGATAAATTAAAATGGGGCAAACTGATAAAATTTAACAGGCATAAGTGCAAATTGGCATCTCAGAAGTGATGGCATATCAAAAAATGGATTGCGCGTAGGATCATATTGAAGTAAATGAGTAAGGCACCAAACCACGGATTGAAATATGAAGATTTGTCAGATGTATAACTCAATAAAAATAACAAGAGAAAAATAAAACCACTTCACTACAGATCAATACAGGACAACTAAAAAAACGAGAGCACATAAACATTATGCATCTAAGAAACATCCTGAAAATGGATCAAAAATCCATGATAAATATTCGCAAACTACATGGTATAAAACCCGAGACTATAAAAATCAACTAAAAATATGAAAAATGCATAGAAATGTGTTTTAAGATTGCTTGCAAATGTTTAAAAAAAATAAAAAAATTGACTATCAATCCTCGCAATTGAACCAGAAATACGAACCATAAACAAATATGAAAGATAAAGCAATGACAAATCAGGTGCTCTACACAGAATTATAAACATAGATCTCTGTATAAACAAAAAGGGATATGCATGCAATGACAAATCAGGTGCTCCACACAGAAATTATAAACATAGATCTCTGTACAAAAAAAAAAAAGGAAGGATGGATATCGCCACCCATTTTCTCATTAAAAACAATGCTCATAAATTGACTATAGAAGCTAGACACATGCTTTCACATCATTTTGAAGAAGGATCATAACTACCAGAAATTATCAGCTGGCCTTTTTCCTATTATCTAAAAGACCCAAACCGGTGCTGATGTCGGACCCAAAAATTTATTATATTCTTTTCTACTATATAAAGTGAACAGTAGAGCAATTCATCAAAAATTGCAAAAACATTTGAGACTTTGTACAATTTATTTTGATGCGTCTTAGTAATATATCAGTGTAATCCAAATTCACATTTTCTAATCATTTAATGCAAAAAGAAAACTTGTAAGCTCCATTTTGGATCTCGGATAATAGAGAGGAAAATCTTCCTACATATGGATTTCAAAGAATTTCTGGAGTAAATGGGCGTATCTACAAATTAATGGAGACAATCTGATGTTTACATAGACAATCAGATGTAGAAATGCTTTTCCTTTCAATTACAGGGCATTCAACTAAACTGAAAAGTTGCCCAAATTTGATTTTTGCTTTAAGAAATATAATTAAAAAAAAAAAAGTTTCTTTTTTTCCCAAGATCCAAATGGAACCCAAAGGTTACTACTATATAAGTTCCATAGACCTGTGCTTCTAGGGAAGGAATCAAATCCGTCTTTAAATAGCTCTGTTGGATCTTCCACATGTACATTTTTCCATTTTTAATACATATGTATTTGTTTTAATTCAGTTTGAGGCCTCTTGTGGCAACATGGATGCAATACAGACATCAAGTGTATGCTTAAGGCAGAGATTGTGCAAAATTAATAATTTCTACATTATTCTTTAATGCTTTGGAACACTTACCCACAATCAAGTTTCTACATAGCTCAATGCCATGTGATGATTAACATTTATCTACTACATTTAACACATTAATCTAATCCAAATTTTGGAATTAGCACATTTTAACTAAGCACATATTTTTTTAAGGTGATTTCTAAAATTCAAATCGAAGGTGTAAAATTACATCCTCCATCAACAAAGAGATCAACTTATTTTAGTTTTGCTATTGCTGTTTGTTTAAGTTATCCGTAAAAGCTCTTGCTACAGCACGATAAGTAACAAATAGATTAGCTGGTGAGTGCTCACCTATTAACAACAGAAATTGTCAATGAACCAGGGAGATTGCTAGCTGATCGCAACAAATCCAGTAAAGTGCCAAAATATCTATTTGCATCTGATACAAGAGCAGGTAGATCCAGAACAGGATGATGATCAACCAGCATTGAGATGTTAAATGCCCTTCCCTGCCTCATAGTAACTATAGCCAAAGCAACATCAGCATAAAATCAGAAGCTCAAACAAATGTGGCAATAGTTTGGGAAAATGACTAAATTAAAAGGTACAATATCATAAACAGCTTCAGTAATCAAATTCAATTATCTTAATAATCAATATCACATTACCTTCTGGTACAACTTTTTCAGAATCATTTGTATCCGAAGTAAATTGTAATATGAATGTTTCCAGAAACTTAATTGCAAGCAACTTTGGACCAACAGAACCAGCCTACAAGAAGATATTCAGAAAAAATTTCACGTCAGTTATGTAAGTTTAACTCAGTAGCAGAAAATCCAAGCAAAATTCTGTGTTGAATTTAGATGCTAAATGTAACAAAATATTCTCACACACACAACTAAAATCTGGGAAGAAAATAGGCATGGGGGGATTCTTAGAATTATGCCCTCAAGAAAAACAAGAATAAAAGCGTTAACAGAGAGAAAAGATTCAGAGTTGAGCACACTATTTGAACTTACCAACTTATCATTAATCTATAACACCAGATTCTAGATCATAGCCTATAATATTTTGGGATCTTTTACAGGTTAATCTTTTGTTGGTCACAATATCATTTCTATCCCTTTCTTTAAGGTAAATGAAACCAGAAGTGCTAGCCCAGTTTGTACTATGTGACAACATTCACACTATGATTCCTGTGTTAATATTTTAGTTTATTAGACTACGAGAATTGACGCGAAGAACAGGGACATTGCTACGAAGCATCGACATAGCATTTGGAGGATCTATTTCTCTTCTGCATACGGCGAGGGGATATAGACAAGGGCCCACTATTTGGTATCTATTTGATACTTCTCCATCACACCTATCTTAGTTTGTTGGCACACTCAATCAATTGGATCGGATAAAATTAACACCGATGATTACGTCAAGGATAGATATGCCCATGGTGGGGATATCATTCGTGGCCACAATGAAAGGATGGATGGTGCATCCAGCATTCTCATCCCCTTATGATGATTGCTCCATTCTTGAGGCTAATTTACCGACTATTCTGGATGGGATTCATCTCACTCGAGGACTCAGACTTGGACTTTCAAAGCAGATTCCTCTTTAGCTATTCGCTTTATCACTCACGGAGATGGGTCATGGTCAATCCAGAACACTATCAGACAAATCAAACATCTTCTTTCACTTAATCAAGACACGATTTTCCACATATTTCGAGAAGAAAATCTGGTAGCTAACTCACTTGCTAATGTAGATTGAGAGCAACAACACTACTAGGAGTATGGACCTTAGACCTTACTCCATGATTACGCGCTTTGATTCAGATCGACAAACATGGTATCTTTAATGTTAGATGGCTATAGTCTACTTTTGATTTTTTAGTTTTGTTTGAAAGATAGTACCTCTTCATTTACTGCTTTCTTTATGTTTGCTGCTTTGTTGGAGGTCGGTTTACACTCCCCTCCCATATATTCTTGCAAGGTCCTTATATATTATTGATGGGCAGCATAAACCCGCATTACACTCCTCCAGTGGAGCCTAAAAACACATTGAGGATGTGTTGATGATTTGCCTTAAAAAATACTAATAGTGCATGTAAAGTGAAACGCCAGCTAATGCTGATGAGCAAGAGGAAGAAGACTTTCAAACCAGGTTAAAAGATTTCAGCTACAACTGATGTACGTAATATATTAGAGGTCAAGAGTGAAATAAAATCATTTGCAAATCTGATAAATAAAGGACAGCAAGTTCCGAATTGTGCAACCGGTTCAATTTTAAGAGGTTGTTCTTCCATACAATCGCTGGTTCACCAAACTACCTCATCCCTCGCCCATCCATGTACGTTTTATATATCCTACATCCCCTACACAATTAAAGTATTTCTATGGCCAATAAATCATTGAAAATTTAATAATTTTAATTGGCTCGAAAGAAATGTCATTAATTCTGTCTCCCCTTCATGGTGGCAATGTGTAGAATGGGAAATTTTCAATGTATAGCTTGTTTTGCAAGATGGCTATGGTGTAGACTCTTCAGAAAGCTGTAATTGGGTAGAAAGGTAGTGTTTGTGTCATCTTAGTGATTTAAACAGAAGAACTATAGGAACTTTGAAGGAAGAGCGCAAAAGTGTGTTGAGTTTTAATTTTGTATCCTGATAGATTTCTAATGAAGAGTTAATGGGCATTCACACACACGTGTGTGTGTCTATGTGTGTGCGCACGTATATATAGATGTATAGACGTGTATATATATGTGTGTGTGTAAATTCATACTATACGCCTCACCGAGTAAAAGTGGGACAATGTCTTGCAGCATAAATGCAATATATGTCACCGTTTCTACCTCCAAGAAGAGTATAAATCCTAAAAACTGAGTAAAAATTGTGATATCACCCCCAGCATTTATTGTGCTTTTTTAGTAACTGCACCAGGTTTAACCAGAAGTGAAATTGAGATCAACATAGCAGTTAACGTGTTTCCCAAGTTCACCTCCACCAAAGCACAAACACAACACTGACATGGCTAAATGAGATATGGTAGTTATTTCAGGTTTTTTATTCTTTTTTTGTCTTGTGTCTTAATTTAATATTAACTTAAGTTTAGTCAAACAAGATAAGGTAGTGGTGGGCGAAATTAAAAACCCACTTAGAGTACAATTTTCAGAATAAAAAATAAAACAATTAAAATCCACAGCAAAAAATTAAATTTCTGGCACATGCCTCAGGCACATTGAGGCACTGGTCCTGCACCTCACAGGCGCCTTTTTAAACCATGGTCAAAACAGACTTGTTCTCAAGTTCTAAAGTATTTTCCACCAAATTTCTGATTTTCAATCGGTTTCTTTTTTTCTTCTTCATGGTAAACAACGTTGATTCAAATAGCGAGTAGCATTATTGTTGAACTCTTATTTTGCAGTCACAACCAACTAATTCTCAGATTATTTTGTCACAGTCTCATGTATTTAAGATTTTCTTTCAACTACAGTTTGAGAAAATTCTATTAATCCTTTTCAATCCCCGATATAAAGTTTCTACCTCCACCACAGTACCATTATCAAGATGCACGCATTTATATAACAAACAAGCACAAAAGAAGGGAACTCGATGCCAAAATTTATGCATCAGATATATAAAGCGCCACGGCCAATGTCCCAGGCTGCATAAAACTGCAATGGAATCCAATTCAATATCAGTTAGCCCCTGTTTGGGCTCCATTTTTCCAAAACTCATTTTCAACCACACTCTCTCCCATAAAATAATATCATAAGTAAAACCCAAAACTTTTCCTTATTTTAACCACACATTTTGCAAAAAATCACTATTCTAAAACACATTTTTTCCCAAGAAAACTCACTTTAATCGAGCAAGTACAGGGGCTAGAAATATATAAAGTTACAGTTAAATTCCCTTGATGGCCTATACATAACTATCTGGTTTAGATAGTCTCAATGCCTGGTGTAAGCAATAAAGAATGTATTGCCAATATCAATAAAATAAAATAAAAATAAAAAATAAATTGATTTTCTGATTTTTGTTTTAAATAAAAGAAGATTTAAATCATTGAAAGGTGAGAGACCTTATTGTAAAGTATAAATAAGTTGTCAAAGAAAAGTTCATCAATCCTTCTGGAATGTTAGTTCCTATCTTTCAAAATGGAAAATTGGTTAAAAACAGGTGTACTTTATTTTCACACAAAATTCCCAGGATCATGAACAATGAGGGTCCAAAATATGCTACTAGTTGAAGGGAAATGAATTGTGGATGATAATTCAACTGCATCGTAAAATGAAGGTATGCAATAAAACTACATTCCACCAGCAACTTAATACGCACCTCAAAGATAATGCTGAAAACAGAATCCTTGAACTTGACCATCCACATCCAAAGCTCTTCAAGCCACCTCTCAACTATACCACGCCGTTGAAACTATAATTTTTCAAATACAGTTCAAAGTTTCACGTGTATACACAGGATAGTAAAACTAAAATTTGTAAAACAAGGACAGTACAGGAAGACAAATCAAAAAAAAAAAAATATGGATTCTATAGAAGGGACTTGATCACACTTATGGACAGCCTCCTAACTATAGAATTTGCAGGGTCATCACTATAAAGTAATTCATTCAAAACTTATTAATCATAGAAAGTAGAATAGAAGAAATTCAAAATTCAGATTTCTGCACTTTAGAAGCAACCTCATTGTAGAAACCTCTTGTAACTTAACACAACATATGGCTTGGGATGAAACAGAATGCAGAAAATTTGTGATCCAAACAACCATAAAGCAATGGAAACAAAAGACGATCAGACTAGAATGCAATAAAACATTTCAAATGTTTTCATTTTGATAGGAAGCAGAAGAAAGAACATCAAAGAATTATTTTATTTGACTTTGTATATTTGATTTAATGTTGCGGCTACTAATCATATAGAAGGGCCGACTAATTTTATGTCGTTTCTTTCTTATATAAATTAATAATACATTTCCCGTATATTATCCTTTGATTAATAAAATTATATGATTACCTTTAAAAAAAGGAAGAAGAACGAAGATATATGGACATGCAATCACGCAATGCACAACAGATAAGATAGGAAGAGACCTAAAATCATAAGTCAAATTGTGATCAAAACAACTATAAAGCAATGAAAGCAGAAGACGATCAGACTAGAATGCAATAAAAAATTTCATGTGGTTTCATTTTGATAGGAAGCAGAAGAAAGAAGAGATATGGATAAGCAATCACACAATGCACAACAGATAAGATAGAAAGAGACCTGCAATGATAAGTCCTCCAAAACTCTACAAAAGATTTTTGTGCCGGTGATAATAGATTGCTTTGCAACCATGAAATTATTATCTTTTAAGAACGTCAACAAGATAGGCAACAACATGGATAAATGCTCCATACTTTTAGCTCCAATCTCATCAATTACTCTGCCAAACACATTCGATGAAATTAGAAGGATGCAAAATAATCTTCAACACATGGCAAGACAATGTGGGACTACATGAAAATATACAAGCAAAGCAATATCAGCATCATTAATATGCATGCAATGGTTTCTAAAGTAAAAGATCAAATATGCATCATAGGGCAAAGGAGTATGGATGATAATGTTGCACCATTGAAACAACTTTCAGAGAAAAACATAATTTACCATTTTCTTTTAATAGTTTAAGTAGTTAACCTTGAACCAGTTACAAACATAATACTTTTTTTTTTTTTTTTGTTAGGTTTTTTAGTCAAGGAAGCCCAAGAGCCCAAGGCCCAGTCAAAACATTTTAATATTTGCGTGAGGAGTGACTCGAATCCCTGACGTCCCACTACAAATATAATATTTATAATGCAAAGACGGCAAACTAACATCAGCCTCGACGAGTCCCAGACAAAGTATTCAATTAAGAGATGAAACTATATTGACAAGGAAAGACTATAAGCATCTGAACCAAACATCACTTGACTTATCAGATTTCTGTCTTATTGAGCATGGAAGCTCGTCATTAAGCACTTGAACTCAAAACGGTGTTCTTATAGGAATATAACAACTTGCTCAAGGAGAGCTAGAACCTCAACACTAGGCAATCTCTCATTTCAAGTTAAAATTTACATGTTCAGCATTAGAAATATTTCCAGCTGCGCGTTTAACAAGAAGATTACAGAACACTTTTTATCAGTATATGTAAGTTTCCAAATAAACAAAAATAAATAAATAAATAAATAAATAATAATAATAATTGACATTCTTAACGAAGGAACAACCGTTAAAAATTTGCAATGCCAGATTATTATGAATAAACGAGTACTTGTCAATGCAACATCAATGTCTCTGTCCTCTAGACAGTATGTCAATGTTAGGGAATGAAATTAAAAATCCCTGGTGTAGATATGACAGCCTCAATAAGTAGAACTGCCTTTGGGTGGAGAATTTTTTTGCCCCCCTTTATTCTGGCAGCTTTCTTTGGGAAAAGAGGTTGTTATTTGAACTTCATGCAATTTAGTTCGGAGTTGAACACTAAAATAATCTTAAGTCAAGCAAATTTGTATTACTTCTTATGAACTTTGTATCTAGGACACACCAACACATTAATCAAAAACTGTGGAACAATTTATGTTACTTCCCTTTTTTCTCTTTTTTATGGGATGGGGAGCACCCAAGGTTCTCATGTCTACTAAAGCACAAATATAAAACCTCTTATCCGATTAAAATCATCATTTAGTAGAAAAATCAACTGTCAAGGTTCAATCTTTTTGTTCCTTCAACAATTACAAGATCTTGATCACAAAAAGCAGAAGACGTGTCTGTCTAAAAAAATCTTTTATCCGTCAAAAAATCATGAAAAATGACATAAGCCCAATTTAAGTAATTTTTTTATTTCCCCGACTACATTAAGAAAGAAAATCATGTTTAATGCATTAACCAAAAAATCAAAAATAAAATAAAATAGAGCCGGAAAATAAAGAATTCACAGAACTACCAAAATCGGAAATTATTCTCTATTTCGAGTAACAATAACTTACTCGAGGAGGTATTTACGCACGAGCATTTCTGGGGAAGTCTGAAGCTCAACCAAGTACGGAAAGAGCTCTGCGGCGTGAGAAGGCTCTGCAGATAGCAGTATGTCCTTGACTTGCTTCAAGGACGACAGCTTTACAGCCAAATCCCCATGGTTGTTCGCCGAAGCGAGGAGAGGAAGCGCCTGCTCCTGCGCTGGCCCAGCCATGGAATAATTCAGGACTCAAGGAGGAGGAGAAAAGATTTTTCAAATTAATTAATTGAGGTTTTGTACTAGTTTAGGGTTTTCTAGGGTTTTGAATTGGGGGTGATGGGATTATGCTTATATTTAGAAAAATAAGGGTAGGGATGAAATGGTGTAATGAAATGAATGGAAAGAGTGGGTGAATTACAGAGCCTGGCGCCTGCGAAGAAGCGGTTTTGCTTGGTGTGGGAGAATATGGATATTATATAGTCACGTTCCCGGGTCGGGTTTATTTAGTCTGATCCGCTGCTGGCAGTACTGGACTTGTTTCCCGGGTCGCGCCCGTGTGAAGTGGTTTTAACATCGTGGGAAAAACATAGAAAAACCTCTTGATACCCTACCCATATACTTTTGGTGTGATTATATTGTCATTAGTGTTATAAAATGTGGGGGCGGGGGGAATAAGGTAAAAAAGTCAATGAATTTATGCATGTTTCATTGAAAATCAAAAAAGCTTCATATACAATGTTAATAATAATCAAGGCTGCAGACATAATTCTCATTCACTAATAACATACTATTGACAACAATTACAGTTTTCTTTTATTCGACATTTTTAATTATACTAAAATTCTCAAATTTTTATTATTATCTCTTTCATTTCTCCCACCTTTGTTATCATTTTCTTATTATGAACATTCCATTTTCACATATTTGGTCAATGTTGATAATTTGTCTAAATATTTTGTTAGCATGATTTGAAATAAGAGATAAAAATTATGTCGCACTTTTATATTTGTTGTTTTGCTTGTATGATAAATAAGTCTTAATACGCCCTCGTGACAAACTTTTTGAACAAAAATGTTATTAGAGACAAAATAAACTATTTAATTTAAAGATAGAAAAGCAAAAAAATAAAATAAAATAAAATAAGAGAGAGTGCGTGTGTGTGTTACAAATGTTGCAAAATAAAGAAATTTTAAGTCACATTTAGTACAGTTAAAAGTAATGGAATATTGGCAATATAAACATGAGCTATGCTAGATGTATATTATGTACAAAAATTATGTACAAGTAGACTTTTCATATAACCATGTAGACTGATAAAGGTAATAATGGAATGATGGCAATATAACCTAATAGACTAATAAAGGTACTCTTGAGCATCCAAGAACAAGCAGATTCAATCAAACGACGAATTCTTACGTTGTTTAAGGAAATCAAAGGTTCGCTTCCATGATGTCATCTATATGGAATCTCTAAGTATTAATGGTTAACCAACTTCCATATAAATGCCTCAATAAGTAGAACTGCCTTTGGGTGGAGAATTTTTTTGCCCCCCTTTATTCTGGCAGCTTTCTTTGGGAAAAGAGGTTGTTATTTGAACTTCATGCAATTTAGTTCGGAGTTGAACACTAAAATAATCTTAAGTCAAGCAAATTTGTATTACTTCTTATGAACTTTGTATCTAGGACACACCAACACATTAATCAAAAACTGTGGAACAATTTATGTTACTTCCCTTTTTTCTCTTTTTTATGGGATGGGGAGCACCCAAGGTTCTCATGTCTACTAAAGCACAAATATAAAACCTCTTATCCGATTAAAATCATCATTTAGTAGAAAAATCAACTGTCAAGGTTCAATCTTTTTGTTCCTTCAACAATTACAAGATCTTGATCACAAAAAGCAGAAGACGTGTCTGTCTAAAAAAATCTTTTATCCGTCAAAAAATCATGAAAAATGACATAAGCCCAATTTAAGTAATTTTTTTATTTCCCCGACTACATTAAGAAAGAAAATCATGTTTAATGCATTAACCAAAAAATCAAAAATAAAATAAAATAGAGCCGGAAAATAAAGAATTCACAGAACTACCAAAATCGGAAATTATTCTCTATTTCGAGTAACAATAACTTACTCGAGGAGGTATTTACGCACGAGCATTTCTGGGGAAGTCTGAAGCTCAACCAAGTACGGAAAGAGCTCTGCGGCGTGAGAAGGCTCTGCAGATAGCAGTATGTCCTTGACTTGCTTCAAGGACGACAGCTTTACAGCCAAATCCCCATGGTTGTTCGCCGAAGCGAGGAGAGGAAGCGCCTGCTCCTGCGCTGGCCCAGCCATGGAATAATTCAGGACTCAAGGAGGAGGAGAAAAGATTTTTCAAATTAATTAATTGAGGTTTTGTACTAGTTTAGGGTTTTCTAGGGTTTTGAATTGGGGGTGATGGGATTATGCTTATATTTAGAAAAATAAGGGTAGGGATGAAATGGTGTAATGAATGAATGGAAAGAGTGGGTGAATTACAGAGCCTGGCGCCTGCGAAGAAGCGGTTTTGCTTGGTGTGGGAGAATATGGATGTTATATAGTCACGTTCCCGGGTCGGGTTTATTTAGTCTGATCCGCTGCTGGCAGTACTGGACTTGTTTCCCGGGTCGCGCCCGTGTGAAGTGGTTTTAACATCGTGGGAAAAACATAGAAAAACCTCTTGATACCCTACCCATATACTTTTGGTGTGATTATATTGTCATTAGTGTTATAAAATGTGGGGGCGGGGGGAATAAGGTAAAAAAGTCAATGAATTTATGCATGTTTCATTGAAAATCAAAAAAGCTTCATATACAATGTTAATAATAATCAAGGCTGCAGACATAATTCTCATTCACTAATAACATACTATTGACAACAATTACAGTTTTCTTTTATTCGACATTTTTAATTATACTAAAATTCTCAAATTTTTATTATTATCTCTTTCATTTCTCCCACCTTTGTTATCATTTTCTTATTATGAACATTCCATTTTCACATATTTGGTCAATGTTGATAATTTGTCTAAATATTTTGTTAGCATGATTTGAAATAAGAGATAAAAATTATGTCGCACTTTTATATTTGTTGTTTTGCTTGTATGATAAATAAGTCTTAATACGCCCTCGTGACAAACTTTTTGAACAAAAATGTTATTAGAGACAAAATAAACTATTTAATTTAAAGATAGAAAAGCAAAAAAATAAAATAAAATAAAATAAGAGAGAGTGCGTGTGTGTGTTACAAATGTTGCAAAATAAAGAAATTTTAAGTCACATTTAGTACAGTTAAAAGTAATGGAATATTGGCAATATAAACATGAGCTATGCTAGATGTATATTATGTACAAAAATTATGTACAAGTAGACTTTTCATATAACCATGTAGACTGATAAAGGTAATAATGGAATGATGGCAATATAACCTAATAGACTAATAAAGGTACTCTTGAGCATCCAAGAACAAGCAGATTCAATCAAACGACGAATTCTTACGTTGTTTAAGGAAATCAAAGGTTCGCTTCCATGATGTCATCTATATGGAATCTCTAAGTATTAATGGTTAACCAACTTCCATATAAAAACGACGAATTAATCTTAAAATTACTAATCATTTATGATTAACCAAGCCTCAAAGAATTAATAAACCAAGTTATCATCTAGTATTGGTATTATAATGATCTAATACAGCTACTATTTGATGGAGATTAATAAATTTTGATAAAATTAAAGAAATGAGTATTTGAAAAGTCGTGAATCCCATAAAATATGTAGTTAAAATTAATTATTAACTTCAACTTACATTAAAATCTAGATTTTAATTTCTACCAAACAAAATTATAATAATAAACGATAACTTCTCTCCTCTTTGACAAGCTTGTGAAAATAAAAAATAGTGTGACCTTCAATTGATTGGTATGTTGTAATTGGTTTACAAGTGAATGACAATTATACCACAATTATGTTTTATAAATATAGAGTTTTGATTCTTAATAAAGTACACAAATCATTGAGATCTCTTTATTCTCTCCTCTTTTCATAATATTGTATCAACTGAAAGCTTAATTTTTCAAAGTTTAGAGAAGTTAATTAAATGACAAATATTACAAAACTTGAGTTTGCTGCACTTGACATATCTGGCAAAAGCTATCTATCATGTGTACTCGTTGCTGATATCTATCTTGATTCAAAAGGTTTGGGAGAGACAATAAAAGAAGGAAACAAAGAATTCCTACATGATCGTGCAAAAAGCATTTGTCTTCCTTCGTCATCATCTTTACGATGGGTTGAAAATTAAATCTCACCGAGAATGATCCACGGACTCTTTGGAAAAAATTAATTGAGAGATTTGATCATTAGAGGACTATAGTCCTCCCCAAAACTCACTATGAGTGGATGCATTTTCGTTTGCAAGATTTCGAAACTATTAGTGAGTACAATTCTGATTTGTCCAGAATATATTCAAAATTAACTTTGTGTGAAGGAAAAAATCACTGATGAAAATATGTTGGAGAAAACTTTTTTTACATTTTTCACACATCTAATGTGCCCCTAGAGCCGCAATATCATGAGCGTGATTTTAAAAGGTACTCAAAACTAATATCTTGTCTGCTTGTGACTAAACAAAATAATGAATTACTACTGAAAAATTATAGATTACGTCCAACTGGTTCTGTACTATTGCCTGAAGCAAATGGTACTGCGTTGTCTGAAACAAAAGCAATATCAAAACAAGGACGTGGACATGGAAGTGGACGTGGACTTGGACGTATACGTGTAGTAAACCATTGACGAAATAGCCAACAAAGCTATCAGGAAAAGGCAACAATTTCAAAACACATAAAGCAAACAAAAGTAGCACATCCAAAGTTGATATAGATGTGGAATGAAAGGTTATTGAACACGTACATGTCGTACGGCAAAACATCTTGGAGATCTTTACCAAAATCAATCAAGGGAAAGAAAAAAAGTTGAGACAAAATTTGCTGATTATGATGGCTCAATTGATGTGACTCATTTGGATGTCTTCAATTTCTTTGCTGATCCAAATAAGAATATTGGCCATTTGATTGGAGTGGCATAATGGAAGATATAGATTAACTTATTTTCTATGTCTCTAGTATTTCCCTTTATTTTAAAAATTTACTTTGAAATATATTTTAACTTTTTGCAAAATTTGAAACTTTATTATATTTCGTTAATTTCATAGTATTGAATTATGTTTACCCTTTTAAATTTAAATTCAAGTTTTTAAAATATATCTATTTTTGTTATATTGATAAATTCATGATAGATTATCGAGATACCTGCTTTATTGATATTGCAACTACACATGCCATTCTTCAAGACAAAAAATATTTTTTGGACTTGGCATTAGTAAAAAATAATGTTAATGCAATATCAGGTGTACCGAATATCGTTGAAGGGTCCGAATAACTTGTATTATTTTTGCAAAATAATACAAAATTATATATTAGCGATACACTTTTATTTTGTAAAATAATACAAAATTATATATTAACGATATACTTTTATTCTAGCGGGGACGATGCAAGAAAATAATGTTAAATATCTTTGAATAACTTCTTTGCATCTAGTAAGAAGTAGATAAAAGAAAATTTCATGCACTCATATTATACATTTATAAAAATGGTTGAATATAATATTGTCACAAACCAAAAGGTCGTTGACACAAAAAGTTTTATACTTCGACATGCTCTATTTGGAGACCCAGGAGTTATAGTGATGCATCGATTAATAAACTACTCACATGGACATCTTTTAAAGAACCAAAAGATTTTTTATCTAATAATTATTTATGTGTAGTTTGCTCGTAAGGCAAGTTAGTCATTAGACTTTAGACTACGAAGGTCAATATTGTATATCCAACTTTTTTTAAAAGAATTCATGAAGATATATGTGGGCCAATATACCCATCAGCGGATCATTTCGTTATTTTATGGTATTAATTAATTTTTCTATTAGATGGTTATATGTTTGCTACTTTCCACTAGGAATATAGTCTTTGCTAAACTACTTGCTCAAATCATAAAATTAAGTGCGCAATTCTCCGATTACTCAATCAAGACTATTCGTCTTGACAATGTTAGTGAATTTAGATTACAAGCATTTGATGATTAGTGTATGTTAATTTAGATTGTAATTGAACATTCAATTGCGTATGTCCATACACAAAATGGTTTAGTAGAGTCGTTTATTAAATATCTACGACTTATTGGTAGACCATTACTAATGAAAAAGAAACTCACAGCTTCTGTTTGGAGTGATGACGTATTATATGTTGTATCATTGGTCCGTATTAGACCAACTGTCTATTATCAATATTCACCTTTACAACTTGCATTTGATCATGAACCTAATATTTATCACATATGGATTTTTCATTGTGTTATCCCAAGTCTTCACCTCCACGGCGTATTAAAATGGGTCCCCAACGAAGATTTGAGATTTATGTAGATTTTGATTCACCATCTATTATTAGATATCTTGAACATTTAATGGGTGATTTATTTACTGCACATTTTACATATTGTCATTTTGATAAAATGATTTTCCCAACTTTAGGAGGGAAAAAACTATATCCTAAAAAATAGGGTAAAATTTCTTAATATGAAACAACTTTATCTCATTTTGATCCCCTCAATAATCAATGTAAACAAGAGGTTGAAAAAAATTATTCATTTGCAAAATATTGCAAATCAATTATCTGATATAGTTGTTGATACAAGAAAAATGATAAAGTCATATATAATACCAGCAAAAAAATTTTAGCAAATATTGATGTCCTTGTAAAATAATCTACTGTAGCAAATGAATTTCAAATATGCCAGAAGTGTGGTCGATCTGTTAGTTCAAAAGACTCTATACCTCAAAAAGGAAAAGAATAAGTGAAAAACCAATCAAAAACTTCAAAAAAAATTAGAAAAGATTGATCAATCAAATATTAAAAATATGGTTCCGAAGAGTCACAAGTGTTAAAAAATAATGATACTTCGATAAATTATATGTTATCTCATAAATTATGAGAATAAAATAATGTTGTTATAGACAATATCTCATAATCTTGATATTATGTAAAATGAGGATCCTGAACCACAGTCAGTTAAATATTGTCAAAATAGAAATCATTGTCCAAAATGAAAAGAAGTCATACAAGCGAAATTGAATTATTTAGATAAATGAAAAGTGTTTGGACTAGTAATTTGAACACCTAAAAATGTAACCCCTATTAAATATAAATAGGTTTTTGTAAGAAAAAAGAAATGAAAATAATAAAGTTATAATATACGAAGTCCGACTCGTAGTTCAAGGTCTCTCACAAAGATCAGAAACAGATTATGAAAAAACACATTCTCTCTTAATGGACACCATCACTTTAGATTTTTAATTAGTTTGACTGTTAAATTGCAAAAATCATTATATGGATTAAAACAATCCGAACGCAGGTAGTATAATCGACTTAGTAAATATTTGTTGAATGAGGATTATAAAAATGACAATGTCTGTCCATG